TACTTTAGAAGTGAGTGCTGAGACCTTTCGTTTCAAGCTTTCACGGCTCGAATGGGACCCCAGGGCCTTGAGTGAGTTTGGTTTTTCTCGAGGGTGCAAAGTCTAACCTTTGGAGATACCGGTGTCCTGTTTACTGCGTGCAGCCGGACGGCCCCCCTGATCATCCTCACCTTCTTGGTTGGCGCTTTGTTTGGAGCCGGCCTGGTCTTTTGGCTTCTCCGACCTCTGACTTGGGGACCTCTCCTTCGCAACCCCTCGCAAGGCCTTCCTCTTCAACTTCAAGCCGTCGTCTCGCTTTGTATGGGCAGCGAGGGTGAGCAAGATATCACGCAGATATCTCTTCACTTTCAAGGTCTTAGCATTTCGGTTACTAGGAGCCGCGCCCCAGCCCCTTCGGTAGGCCCTAATCCTGAGACCCTGCCTTCCGAGTCTGGAGTCGACTCGACGCCCTACCCTAGTGCTAAGACTCTAATTCCCGAACCCGTGCCTGAAGAGGAGCCTGCCTCTTCATCTTCCGGGCCCTTCTGCTTTTGACCTTCGGTGTTCCTCGTCCGGTCCTCTGGCCAGTTCTTCGAGTGCAAGGCCCTTTGAGAAAGGCTTTCCCGAGGTCCCTCTGCCTGGCTGGTCTCTGCAAAGGTCCTTCGAGCAAAAGGTTTTTCAGGCGAGGCTCGTGTCAGGCGTGCCTGGACTGCTGGCTGTTGGGCCAGAGCTGTCCTGGAAGGTCGTGCAAGGACTCCTGCCCCGACCCCTAAGCTAGACCTCCCTAATAAGCACTACGCCGTCGCCCGCTCCTCGAACGGGTCCCCGCCAGAGATCTACAACAGCCTCCGGGATTACCTCATTGCAGTTGACCACCTGAGTGCTACTGTCAGCCTGTCTCAAGGCTTCCCCTCGGAGCTCGAGTGCCGCGTCTACCTTGACGCTGCTGGCATCAAGACCTTCTTGCCCAGCCTTTGACCTGATGGACCTTGACGGTCTATCTCCTGCGGAGGCCGGCGAGGTCGACCTTTACTTGCTGGACCCTTCCTGGGACCCCGCTCTTGAAGAATGCCTCTCCTCGCCTTGTGTGTGCTATTGTGTGCTCAAGAGGCCTGGCGGCTGCCTTTTAGTTGTGCCTCAGGCCGCTGTTTCGGAGCCAGCCCTGGCTGCCGCGGACGAGTCAGGTCATGTGGGTCTGTTGGGGCCCTCCCTGGCTACCAGCTGCAAAGCAATCTCCCTGACCGAGTCGGGAGATTGGGCTCAGGTTTATCCAGCCAAGCAGGTGCAGGTCAGGATCGTGGACTTCGAGGCTTCAGTGTGCAGCTGCCTCTCTGCCTTGACAGGGGCCGCCGTAGACTATGTTGCCTTCGACCCAGACGACCCTACTTTGTTTCCTTTGGCTGTCGAGGTTGTTGCCGCATCCCTGGCTTGGCTCCGAAACCGGCCCGGCAATCGTGGTGCAGCCTGTTTTTGGAAAACAGGCAAAGGCCCGTCCCGCCGAAAAGGGAAAGAAGCCTACCCTTGCTGGCCTGGCTGCTCAGCAAACTGCTCTGCAAGACCTCGTGGTGAGCCTGGTCGACAGGGTTCAGGCTTTGACAGACAGCCAAGCTGCCGGGGCCCAGGCCCCCCGTGCCCAAGGTCCGGCCGACCTAGGTTCAGGTACAAAGGTGCTGGCCCAGGCTCAGGCGCAGGCAGGCAAGCCAATCCTTTCGGCCCCACTTCACCAGATGTTGCCTCCGCCCCCGGCAAAGCCGAAGCGCTTCTCCGACATATTGGGGCCGCCTCCTCCAGTAAGAGCCCCGGCCCAGGATGTGCAAGGACCTTTGGCTCTGGAGCCCCCGGGCGAAGAGGCCCTCCCGGACATTATGCAAGAAGAGCTGCAGCAAGGTCCAGGCGAGCCGCTTGCACAGGCTATGCTTTTCCAGGCGAAGGCCCTCTCCAGCCTGGTGTCCCAGCTCTCTTCGGGCAGTGGCGAGTCCCTCCTCGACTCCAGCGCAGGTGGCTCTCTATCCACGCGAGGTACCAATGGCAGGCTGAAGATTCAGGCCGAGCTTGCCCTCCGAGATGGAGTTTTCTTCGACAAGGTTGTTTCGGCGGCCGCTCGCCGGATGGATCCCTCAAGCCTCGGAGGCAGTGCTGGGTCGCTGCAGGGTCCCGTCTCCCAGGACACTATGACCCAATACCTGGAAAGGTTCGGGGGCTACTCCCGCGACAGGACAATAGGCCTGGCCCAGTGGCAGTGCGGTTTGGCCATGGATCTTCTTTCCCGAAACGAGGCCCGGGGCGCAGCGGACGCCGTCGCCATGATGATGGTGTTCTTCGAGCAGACCTCCCTAGATGGTTCCCCGGACCTGGCCTGGCTTCTTACTCACCTGCCAGACCCTCCGAACGGTCTGTTCATGGATCGCACCACGACGCCGACCACGACACTGAGGCCTTTCTCCCCCTTGGCTGACCAGAGGCTTCTCGCCACGACCCTGGCCTACGTGAAGGAGCTCGATGCTCTGACGGCAAAGAGGAACGAGCTCCCGAAGCCCAAGGCTCCTACAAAGCCGGCCCTTCCTACGAAAGGCGACCCGGGGGGAGACGAAGCAGCTCTCTCTCGGAAGCAGCTGCGGGCCCAACTGTGGGCCGCAAAGAAGGCAAAAGCAACTTAGAGCCGAAGAGCTCTCCCTGCACGCCGCCCGAAGTTCCCGGTGCATCTTCCCGGCGCGCCGATGTCTTTGAGCAGAAATTAAGTTTTATCAAGTGGGCCGCCTCCTTGCCAAGGTTGCTTTTGGCCGCGAAGACCAGCTTCAGCCGACTGCTGCTGGCCTCTTTTTCTGTTGGTTTCCACGAGGGGGAGCCGCCTCCTCCAACCGCTCTCTTCCCCCTGCCTGTTCCCCGCCCGGGGGCCTTCAGCAGGGACGCCCCGAAGCAATGCAGCCGCTCTGTGAGGCGTGCCCTCCTTCTTGGCACCCTCGTCGACAGGTGTTTGCATATAGCCGTGATGGCCCTTAACCACGCCCACGCCGATGGTCGGGCCCTGCCTTCTTCGGTTCTTCGGAGACGGCCTTCCCCTGAGCAGTGCAATGTCTTTGCCAGGTTGAGGTTGTTTATAGAGGCGAGTACCCGCCAGCCCTTTGACTTCTCTCTTTCGGGGGGCCGGCGTGGAGCACATGCTTGCACGCTTGGACGAGCTGAGCACCTACTTGAAGGTCTGTGGGATTTCCCAGGCCATCTACCCTGGCTGCTCTGAGGTGAAGGGCCTCGTGCCTCATGATGAGTCTGGCCCTGCTGCCTTGCAGCCCTACCGGGAAGCAGCCGCCGATCGGCTCCTGATTTCTGGCCGAGGCCATGATTTCTGGCCGAGGCCATTGGGATGTCAGTGCCTACCTGGGCCCCGAGCTTTTGCTCCCCTACCGTGAGCCCGCCGTCCTGAGGGGCATACCTGAGAACTCCCTGTGCTACCCCGACACTGCAAAGGAAAGCAAGGAGGAGATGCTTAAGGTTTTCTCCCTTTGGGATAGTCTGGGCCTCTTGTCGATAACCCCGGCCCCTGCTCATCCTGAGTCCCTCTGCCGCATCTTCGGAGCCTACAAAACGCCGGCCGCTGACCGCATGATCGGAGACCGCCGTGGTCCCAACGCTTTGGAGGGCCGCCTGTGCGGTGTCTCGTCGGACCTGCCTCAAGGCTTTCTGCTGGCAGGCTTCTCGGTGCCACAAGGGTGTGCCTTGTGCGGTGCCAGCACGGACCGGAGCGACTACTACCACCAGATTTGGACGACACCTCAGCGCACTGCAAGCAACGCGGTGGGGCCGCCGCTTCGCCTGTCCGAGCTCCGAGCTACGCGTGCCCATGGCGAGTTTCTTGCAAGAGCCGTTGCAGGCCTGGGCTCTGTTAGGAACGGCCTCCTAGGCCGAGACCGGAGGTCTGTTTATGAGCTTCGTGGCCCGGACCCCGTGGTGTGTGGCGCTTTTCGAGCCATCCTGCAGGGTGATCACAGTGGTGTAGAAATCGCCACGGCGGCCCATGAGGGATTGTTAGAAGGCTGTGGGTTGTTGGCCGAAGACAAGAGGCTCGTCGCGAGCCGGCCCCCTCCAATCGGCTCTTGTGCGGAAGCCCTCGTGATAGATGATTTTTTCGCAGTCAGCCTCGTTGATGCTGACAGCCTGAAGGGCCTCGAAGGTGAGGCTCTTTCACGAGCCCTCCAGGCGAGCACTGCCACCCAATGTGTTTTTCGAGCGAAGGAGGCCTATCGCGAGGCCCAGCTTGCAGGGTCCGACCACAAGGACAACTTGGGGTCTCTGACCTTTACTGTTGCCGGTGCTGAGGTTTGTTCGGAGCTTGGGCTTGTTGAGCAAGGCGCCGTTTTGGTCGGGGCCCCTCTGCAAAGACGTTTGGCGCTTTCTTATGTGTCCCTTAAAGCAGCCGCCCTCCCAGGGACTTCAGAGGAGCTCGTCTCTTCCATGCTTGGGGCCTGGGTTTCCTATATCCAGTTTCGCCGGCCCTTTGCCTGCTTCCTTGACACTGCTTTTAAGCTTGGAGCTAAGAAGGCCCATCCTTCGGGAAGCTCGGCCCGGCCTCTGCCTCGGAAGGCCTGTGAGCTTTCCTTGCTTGCTGCCTGTGCGCCCCTCCTGGCCTCGAACATTGCTGCGCCTTACGACGACCACGTCTACTGTGCTGACGCGTCTCTTGCGAAGGGCGCCTTTTGCAAAGCCAGGGTTGGCAGGGACATCTCTGAGGCCGTCTGGCACTCTGGCACCAAAGGAGGTCATACCCGCCTAGGTTCCCCTCAGCCCGACGACCCGTGCCCCGAGGCCCCCGCCGAACTCTTCGATGGCCCCCGCGGAGAGGGTCCCCTGCCTAAGGAGCTTGCTAGTGCAAAGGCCCGGCCCCTTGGAATGGACTACGACTTCGCTGAGGTCTTTTCGGCTACAGGCACCGTCTCTGAGGCGGCCAAGGAGCTGGGGCTCAGGGTCGGACCCAGAGTGTCCCTGGCAGCTAGCGAGGAGTTTGACCTTCTGCGGGCCCACGTTCTCGACTGGCTGCTGTACCTCATTTCGCGTGGGCGCCTCCGGAGCCTTTATATCAAGATGCCTGCTGGGAGTTTCAGCCGTGCCTTCAGACCCCGCTGCCGCTCCGCGCTCCGGCCTTTTGGTTTTGGGCCCCTCCCTGCCAAAGTTAGGCTTGAAAACAGGCTTGCCTCGAGAGCCCTCTTCCTGCTGAAGTTCTGCCAACGCTGCGGGGTTCCTTGCATCCTCGCCTGCGCTGCGGGCTCTTTCTTCTTCGAGCTCCCTGCTGCCAGGGCCGTCTGTGGCTCCGAGCGTTTTCGGTTCTTTGCCTCGGCTCGGGCTTTCTGTGGTGCCGGGGCCTCCTGCCACCTTAGTTTTCTGACTACTGGTGTGCCGCTAGCTGCCCGCAGCCCTTGTCAGTTTGCGGACCAGTCTTTCGAGTATGCTCTGGCCGGCCTCGTCCGCTCTGCCCTTGCAGCCAGACGTGAGCCCGAGATAGAACCGAGGCCGGGACTCGAGTCCGCTCTAGCCGACGATGTCCTCTTGACCTCGAACTGGGAGGTTTGCTCTTCGTGGCGGTGGCCGGCAAAGAAGCACATAAATGTCTTCGAGAGTGATGCTGCCTTGTCCTTCTACAAAAGGCTTGCCTTGGAAGGTGGCGACCGCAGGTGTGCTTTGATTTCCGACTCCGCCGTTGTCGTTGGCTCCCACCGAAAGGGCCGCTCCTCCGCCCGCCTTCTGCGTGCTTCTTTGAAGAGGGTCGGCACAACTACGATCGCCGGGGGGCTCTACACGAGCCTAGTGTTTGGCCCGACTCGGTGGAACCCCTCCGACGACCCTACTCGAGACGCCCCTCTGCGCACGGTCTCTGGGACAGCTGTTTGCTCCGGCCTCTCCCGCGAGGAACTTCGAGACCTAAGCAGCTTGCGTGGCCTTTCCAGACCTCGTGCAAATTGGGTCCGCCTTGCCCTTGTCCTTTTCACGGTCGCTTTTGACCACCCCTCTCGGCTGGTATCTGCCCTGAGGTCTTTCCCTTCAGGCTCGAGGTTTGCGGTGCTGCCTGAGGTTTTCTCCTACATGCCGCTCTGCCACCAGGCCTTCGACCAGACCCTTGGCTACCCTGGTGAAGGCCCCTCCTTTTGCCTGGCTTTTGGTTTTCTCCATCTCTGGATTTGTACCGGGACGCTCATTCCCCGGAACCCCGATGACTTTCGCCGTCTTGACCGTCATCTGCGCCCGCTTCCTCTTGGCCGTCCGGTGCAAGCTGCTACTTCTTCTAGGAGGGCTGTTCTAATTTCAGGGTTCTCGCAATGGCTGCTGGAAGTTATCGGGAGGTCTCTAGAAGAGACTTTCGCCGAGAGGCCCTTTGACACCGAAGGCTTTGTCAAGCTCCTTGTTCTTTTTGGCAGGGACCTCTACAACAGCGGCCGCCCATACTGGCATTTTTCTGAAACTATAAATGGGCTGACCGCCAGAAAGCCTACGATCAGGCGATCCTGTCAGTCTGCATGGGACCTGGCCTTTACCTGGCTCTCTGAGGAGCCCTCTTCACACCATGTGGCGATGCCGCCGATTGTTTTGATGGCGATCATTACAGCATGCCTGGCCTGGGGCTGGACACGCGAGGCGGGAATATTTGCCCTGGCTTGGGGGGCCCTCCTGAGAATCTCCGAGGCCACGCAGGCCTGCCGTGGTAACCTGATTTTTCCTGAGGACGCGCTTTTCATGCAGTCTTTTATATTGGTGCGTATTGACCAACCGAAGACCCGAGGGAGAGCTGCGAAACACCAGTCTGGGAAACTGGAGGCCAGCGACCTTGTTTCGGTTGCCTCCCTGGCTTTCCTTCACCTGCCTAAGACTGCTAGGCTCGGGCCTTACACAAACCAGACCCTCAGGAGGCGCTTGGGCAGTATTCTGGATCGTTTGGGGATCCCAAAATCTGGGGCGCAAGGTCGCTCTCTGGACCTGGGGTCCCTCCGCCCAGGCGGAGCAACCCACCTCCTTCAACTGACAGAGGATTCTGAATTGGTCCGCCGACGTTGTAGATGGGCTTCTCATAAAGTTATGGAGATCTACCTCCAGGAAGTTTCGAGCTCCACTTTTATTATGGATCTCCCGGAGACAGCTCGAACTAAGGTGCTCTCGCTGGCCCACCTTTTTCCTGGAACCCTGGCGCAGGCTCGCATTTGGGCAACTAACAACATCCGCAGCAAGTGCTGGAGCTACCTTTGGCCATAGGCCTTTATCCGTGTGCTGGGTTCTCCCGGGTGGTATGGGTCGAGGCTTTTCCGGCCCTTCTC